ACCACCACTACATGCCCCTCAAATTTCAATCTAAGCTGTGAAGTTTAGGGGATGGAAATCAAGCTGGGCAACTTCTTTATCGACTCATTTTTAAAAAGAAGTTTTCAAAAATTAGAAAACATGGTGGCGTTAAATTAAGTATACTGTACATATCTCTTTTCATCCAAATGTGATAGCTTAAAACTTCAAACTGTTTATTCAACCTCAGATGTGTAGCAATCATTGTACCAAAATACGAGTCCATATGGGCATTTTTACAATCCTGGGCACTTTTCAGATTTTCCCACATATTGCTAATTAACAAATTACATGCATATGATCAAAGAATTCTTTTATCACTAGGTTAGAGAATGGTGTAAGTGAAGATAAACACTGAAAATAGAAACCAAATATCACCACCTAGTCCAAAGTTATGCTAAAGCAAAGCCCAAAAAATGACCAAATTTTTTTCCCGTTTTAGTCATATGAAATAAAAAGCAATCTAAAATAAATTAAAGCAGTGTTTGACATTGCATTTTTTTGGATTATAAAACACTCAGTAGTATGGTGGAAGCAAAAAAGTTTAAATATTAACAGGAGAGAGGTGTATTCTAGAAAAAAAGTCTTTTAATGGCATGCTGGTAATTCCGTTAAACGAAATGTCCATTCCGAAACAAAAATAAATGACTTTCAGAAAATATATCATAAAACATACAGTATAATTAACCATCCTAATCATTATTTGGATGTATTGGTGTTGTTTGTATCAAACAATGAAATCTGCGTGATGATTCTGGAGCTTGACATGGAGTGCAAAATAACCCTACCGTGTTTTTCCGTTAAATTTGTCCATTCCGAAACATTGGATTTCTCGTACATAAAAAGAACATGTTGACACCTACCCAGTAACAATATATATTTCTCTAAAGCCCAGGGCATGTGATATTTATTTTTATATAAGAAAACCCCAGTGCACAGAAACCCATTTAACTGTGGCCTTTTTTGAGATGCTTGTTAAAAATTGTCCATTCCGAAACAAGTACCTTTACATTGCCAATGTTATAAATAGAGAGAATTCTGTCTTTAATGCTGTATGTTTCACTTGACATGAGCAAATTATTGTTAGAGCATCATGAATATGACATAAAAATAATAGAAAAACATTTCTTCAATGGCATATTTTTAAATTTCTATTTATAACCTCAACAAAATAATTCATTTTTGCGAGTCAGCATCTTTTCTTTGGATCTACTAGAACTTCCATTGCATATTTCCCCAAAGTTCATGTATTTCAAAGTTAAATTAACAATTAATTGAAGATATTATATCAGTATAAATAGAAATATAGGCAATTTGGATGCTTTGTATCGGAAAGGACATTTTTTAACACATTGTCTAAAACACTTGTTTACTCTTTGGTCTGCTCATCTATTTATTATTCATGAGGAAGAGGATGATGGGAAGCTCATCAAATTTATGTAGAATATGATCATGAATAATACAGCTTACCCTTCTTTAAATATTGCTTACTTATGATGTACATAAAAGTACTCTAAAATAGTTATGAGGCTACACATGTTAAAGTTGCGAGAGTCAGATCACTGGCACGGTTTACAGAGGCGCTTGCAGGCAGACACAGGTTATAATTAACTTCCTGGGAGTATATATATATACACACACACACACACACACACACACACACACCATTTAAGCAATTTCGTAAATGTTAAATAAATGTCCATTCCGAAACACAGGACATGCCTAAAAGGACATATTTAAAAATGTAATTACTAAATTTAAACCTGACCTTGTCAAATAATATTTTATACAGCTATGAGCTGTAACAAAAGGAAGTAGAATAGGGTATAATGGAGTGTAGAAGACTCTATTTTATGTCATGATCAAATACTAATGGAGTAACATTTCAAAAAAGAATCAAAAACTATCCAAAATGACCAATTAATGTAATAAAAACAGTTTTAATCTAGTTTACTCATATTTTGTCCAATGACTGCTTCACCTATACCTTGTAAACCAACATACTATGAGATCTTAAGGCAATTTCATAAATGTTAAATAAATGTCCATTCCGCAACAAGGACATGTCTAAAAGGACATATTTTTAAACATGTCTTTACTGTTGGTAAATCTGACATTGTCAAATAATATTTTATACAGCTATGAACTGTAACAAAAGAAACTGGAATAAGGTATAATGACGTAAAGAATACCTGGAATATATCTCAGAATCAATATTTAATAAAATTAAATTCCATTAATGAATCACTAGTACAGAAAAGACAAAACAAGCACAAAATGTAATAAAAAGATTTCAGATTTAGTTCAGCTTCCACCTATTTTGCCCAGTTATTCATAGACTTTACCTAAAACTTATAAACTCAAATACTACAATATATTAAAACAATATCATAAATGTTAAAAAAATGTCATTTATTTTAACATGACACTGCAATTAGCACACATGTCTGTGCAAAATAAAATTTTACACAATCATGAAGCATAACATAAAGAACTAATGCAAGGTAATGTGAAGTACAGAAGTCCTAAGAATATCTCAGAATAAAAAACTTCTTGGA